CAAGCATAGAAGAAAGAGGAAGATATCACACATCCAGATGAACTCAGGGAATATAGAAAAATCAGTCCTTTTAAAAAGTGGTTGATAAGAAACCAATTGATGATATACACACAATCAAAAAATGAAGTAGATAGTTATGGAGGAGGGCTAATTCAGTATTTGTAGAGGTTCTGATGGAAAGATGATATGGCTTCAAATATTTGATATCCAGCCACATTTTTCTGTGTCAATACAATAATAAACAAGATCCAATAAGCAAATGTCTCTAATGATAGTACCCAAAGATACTCACTGAAAAAGATACTGAATAACACTATAAACAAAGTCAAACTTTCCTTTTGATTCAGTATGATTTTTATCAAGCAGCCCTCAGAGTTTCAACAAGGAGTCATTACTGTCCTCTTGCAAATCTTAAAATATATTTCTTACTACTTATTGAATTCTTTATTTAGTAGTGAATTAGGCATGTGATTACAAAGAAAATCCAATGTATGTCATTGTAAAATAAAAAAAAAAAAAGAAGGAAAGAGGGTGGGGTTGAAGAAAGGAGAGAGGATCGGTTGGGAGGTGTCAGTATGCCCTTAAAACTGTATATATGAAACACATGAAAGTTTTTCCCTTTTATAAATAAAAAATTTTTAAATATGTAAACAGACTTATCAAAAGGATCTTGAAATTGTGTGTTATGAAAATGATGGCAATTGGTACACCCACATCCCATATTGGAGTGCCTATGATCAAACCCCAGCCCTAATTTCAATTCTAGATGCCTGCTAATGCACACTGTGGGAGGCATCAGGTGATGGCCCCAGGAATTGGGTCCCTTCCACCTATGTGGAACATCCAGAATGTGTTCTGGGTTCATGGCTTCAACCTGCTCCAGCCCTGGCGGTTAAGGGCATCTGGGGAGTAATCAGTGTGTGTGTGTGTGTGTGTGTGTGTGTATCTATCTATCTATTCACAATTTTCATGATATTTACCTGTCTGGAGCTATATATTTTCATCTCACAAGCAATTAATGTTATTTCTTAGTAACTCCAAGTCTCAGAATTGTATCTATAAAATACATGAAATCTGGTCTCTTTATATTAATAAAATTCCTTTAAGTCTTTAAATGTTTTTCTCATACATTTAACTTTTTATTGTATTTGGAATTTCATGAGTACTCATGAAGTTACGAGCCTACTCAGTTCAAACACCTATGGATGGTTGTGTTCCAATGTTTTGTTTCCTTGATGTTTGCTTTTGCATATTATATTAAATGCTTTCTGTTTGCTTTTTATTTGTTAATTTGTAAAAAGTCTTGATAATTCTGGAGGGTTATTTTCACTTGTTTGCTGTAGTAAACCACGTAAGAATGTTCCATCCACATGCACTCTCATTCATCCCTGTACTCTACAGTTGCTTCCCTTCCTGTGAATGTTCTGCCCACACAGGGCATGCTAAAAGTGACATGGAGATAGTATCCCAGAAGTTATTCTCAATCAGTGAGCATCACTACTTGGTGAATAATTATCCATGCTTCCTTGCTCCTTGGTTAGGATAAATCTGATGCCTATTCTCCCTGTCCCACAAATGTCCTCTGCAGGATTAGGGTTCAGCACACGCAGTGGCAACTGACTGATCACACAGTCTTCATTGGCTTTATTTCCCATTCCCACCTTTTTGCTTGCTAGCTCCTCTCATGGAATCTTCCATGTTGCCTTCCAAACAAATCTGAGGACCTCATACCGAAGCATCTGCCTCAGCTCTGTTCTGTCAAACTAAAACATATGCCATGAAAAACAAGCCAAAATCCTCTAGTCTTAATTTTACTTTCTTTTCTACATATTTTTCTTTAAAAATGAATCTGCAGGGGCCAGCATTTTGGCATAGTGTATAAAGCCCCTGCCTAGAATGCTGGCATCTCATATGGGTGCCAGTTCGAATCTCGGCTGCTTCACTTTTGATCCAGCTCTCTGTTAATGGCCTAGGAAAAGCAGTGGAAGATGGCCCAAGTGGGAGACCTAGAGGAGGCTCCTGGCTTTGATGGGCTCAGCCCTGACCATTGGGACAATTTAGGGAATGAATTAGTGGATGGAAGACCTTTCTCTCTCTCTCTCTCCCTCTCTCTGTAACTCCACCACTCAAATAAATACATAAATCATTAAAAAAAAAAAGTTTCATCTCCATTACCATTATAGCTTCCCCCTGTTTAGCTCTCTGGGACATGGCAGGTAAAGCCCCCAGAACTTGAGTCTCTACCACATGGGTATTCTGGACTGGGATCGTAGCTCCTAGTGTCAACGGGGCCTCACCCAGCTACTGTGGGTATTTGCAGAATGGGCTCACTTTTGGAAGACTCTGTCTGTCCTCTCTTTCTCTATCTCTATCTATCTCTCTACCTTCCAAATAAAAACAATGAGGCTGTGCTATTTTTGGCTAAATTTACTAATGTTCTTCTTTTTATTCTTTTATTAAAAACTCTCCCAATGTTTTCATCAAAAATATTCCTCTGTGTTTTCTGCTATAATGTTTCTGTACTTTTGTGTATACATAATCTACCTGGATTTTATTTTTCCTTATGGCATGAGATTTATCCAAAAAATGGATAACAAACTCACCCAGGACCATTTATTTAATAGCCATTCTTTCCTCTCCCATAATTAACGGTCTACTTTTCATAAATGAGGTTTCTATGTGTGCATTAAGTTGTTGATGTGCATGTTATTTCTTTCCACTTAGATAATTTCTTTTTCTTATTTGTTTTATTTATTTGACAGGCAGAGTGACAGAGTGAAAGGGAGAAACAGAGAAAGAGATCTTCCATTTGCTGGTTTACTCCCCAAATGGCCGTAAGACTGAGTCTGTGCCAGGCCCAAGTCGTGTACCTGGAACTCCATCCAGGTCTCCCATATGGGTGACAGGGTCACAAGTTCTTGAGCCATCTTTTGCTACAATTACAGGCACATTAGCAAAGAGCTGGGTCTGAGGCAGAGCTGATGTTTTGTAATGGGAGGCTTGTGTCAAAGGTGTAGCTTAACTAGATGGCTATATTATTTCTGTTCTTGAATTGATAGAACTGATATCATATTCTCTTTATTGCTACAGCTTTATGATGAGTTGTCTTATGTGAAATACTGTTTGATTTTTATAGTTTTTCTATTTAATTTTAGGACATATGATTTGTTCTTTTTCACAATTACCTGTTTGTTTTCTTTCAGTTTGTCCTTTATATATGATTGTCTTTTTTCAAAACAGATATTCTTCCACTATTTATTTAATTATAATAAGTAGAATTATTTAAAACATTTCCTTTGAAGAAAGTTTATAACCTGAAGGCTGATTTTGTTTCTAAACTGGAGTAAGTCATTTTGGATTTTCAACCATGCATTTAATCTTTTGTTACTCTGTTCTTAGAGCAGAGCATGTGCACTCTCTTTGCTAACTACCTTCTCATTTGCTTCTGGAAGGTCAAAATAAATTTAAGTGAACATTCCCTATGATTTTCTGAAAAATCTTTGTTTCTGCACCAAATACAAAGAGAAAACAGTAATTAAACTTTCACCTTCTTGACTTTTGAAATTCAAGGGTGATCTTTTCTAGGCTCCAATTTTATCAGAGGGTCTGGTCTAATATTAGCATTGTCCCTTAGTATCTGAGTCAAATGAACTTCTAGTGCCATCACTGGCATCCTTCATTCCATATATATGTAAATCAAAGTTTGCAATTCAATAAAAAATACAAGTATTTCTATAACTTATTTATTTCTGTTGTCCTTTTTATTCAGCAAATAACTGAGTACAACATGCTATTCTCTTCTTTCAAGGGTAGAAGCAAAGTACTATTGCTCATCTCAGCCTAATTTAATTGGTCACAATTTCAGTGTTTTAAGGATTTCTGATCTGGGACTTTCTTACCTGTAGCCAGTTTTACTGACCAGAACAAAAAGCAAATCAGTTTTCTTTCAGAATAGTTTTGGTTTTTCTATTTTGTTAATTTATTTTTTAAATAATGGCTTCAGTTGTTCAAGTACCAGAGGTGCACCACACTATAATTATCAGAAAACAGCTTTAATTTTCCCCTAAGTCCTAGGTCCACAGTTATGAGTGTAGTTATCTTAACTTATTCTCTTACTGTAATTGGCATCTTTAAACAAAGTCCAGGGCAACGTGCTCTCCACGCAGAATATCTTCTTAAAATAGAAACGAACACTTTACCCCTGTTAGTAAAGCTGTTACCATTCATTGACAACTACACATAGGCCATAAAAAATATGACGCCTTGTTGAAGTGGACTTTCCTTCATGTTAAATCAATACTGTGCTGAATTGCCTAACTTCACAATGGTGACATAATCAAGTTAATAAAACTTTTGTTGGTTTCAGTAAGAAGCATATACATACACACGTGTGTGCGTGTGTGTGTATTGGGGAAGAATGTGTGTGTGTGTGTGTTATGTTTTATATACATCTGTGCATGCAAGTTATTTTCGGAATGTCTATCCCCACACACAACAGGAGAAATACCTTCATAATGATCAGAGTCAGAGGGCAGAAGGTTGATCTGTTAGAACCTCTCTTTACAAATATCAAGTTCATCTGCCTAGTGACTCATTTGTCTGTCATGAATTTTGTATTTTTTCTAATAGTTCCACAAATGATAATGTGTCATTTTTTGTTTACAACATGAAGTTAATTTCATTCACCTTAACAAATAGCCTGATCAGTTGATTAGTATTTACAACTCTAGGCTTCTAAACTCATTGATATATTCTTAAAGATTAACTGCCCTTTGAAAGATTTGATGTATAAAGACCTAACATTGCCAGAGCATCATGTACTACTCCTTTATACTGACTGGTATGGCTGTCGATGTTGATTGTCATTGCTTTACAGATCTCTAAGCATTTGAAGACTTTTACCCCCCAGTTTGTGCTGAAGTGTGTTTCTCTAGTGTGGAGAATATAGATATTTACAGTCTCTTACAGTTCTTAAATTAGCAAACCTTTAAAACTAAAAAATGGAATCCAAAAGAAGCGTATCTTCAAGGCACCATGGTCTCAGCTCGTATGAAGTTCTATTTGCAGCTCTCTTTGCCACGTTGGTGGTGCTGTTTGCTGGATTAATTGCAGTGTCTTGGCTGGCAATCAATGCCTCAGGGAGAGGTAAGTCATATGGAGTTGACCACTAAGGGCGCTGTCAGATGTGGCACACTTTAATCTCAGCTATCCTGTCAGTATATCTTATTCATTGCTGTGGCTTTATGTCAAAATAGCTATGTTACACTCAGTTGCTTCTCTGTAGTTTATGTCACAGTATATTAGAAAATGTAATTGGTATATGACTTAATCCAGAATTCAAGCATGAGACTTTTTTTTAATTTAAAGAATAAAAATACTATGTTTTTCATTTTCAACATCGAAATGTAGGTTTGTTGGCATGAACATTCGTTCTGATAGAATCCAATTTATCAACACATTAAATTGTTGACTGCACAAATCAATAAATATGCAGTTAGTGAAAAAATATTCATTTCATTAGAACTCCCTCATTCTCTTATTAGACCAAAAATTCTAATTGTAGTAATAAAAGCAACTTGGATGTAAATGTAGACTTTTAAAGATCTCAAGCTGTCTGAATATCAGCCTGTGATAAATTACAAAATAAGAAAAGAAAGTATTATTTATAGCTGAGTCTGTACCAATATCTTTTCAAACAGCTTCAAATATTATCTGGATATAACAAATCTATGTGGTAGTTACTAGTTTCCTCATTTTACGGATGAGGAATCTGAGACAAAGAATTTAAGGAAATTGCTTAAGTCTGTATCTTAAGTAGGGATCAGAAGTAAGATCCCAAATTAGAAGTCCCAAGTCTAAAACTTGTGCCTTATTTATCACTTATTAATTTATAACAAATTTAAAAAAAAACTGGAAGCAGAGCAACAACCTGAGCATTAAGTATTTATTTTTTCCATATAATACTTATATTTTTAAATGGTGGGTTATATGTGGGCATTGTAATTCTTTCTGAAAACTCACAGGATAAGATTTCTTACATATGAGTAATTTTAGATTTTCCAAGAATATTCTCAGATTTTGAGTTAGCCAATTTCTTCTACTGGATTAATAAGTTTGAATTATAGTATAATAAAATTTTAAAATATATCAGTATAACTCCTGTCACATATTATAGTCACATACAAGAGATACATTTTAAATAAAATATATATTTGTGAATATTTTATATGACTATATCAGCACTTAAAGATTTATAGAGGCCCACTTACACTTTAGAAAAGAGTCTGTTTGGCCTTATTTAAATGGTATGAAAATCTTCAAGAATGTAAAACCATTTGAGACTATTAAAATCTTTGATGCTCAGTTAACATGCTAAAGAGAATTATGTTATAAACTGTAAGGAAAAGAGGCACAGGACACAGAGGGGACAGGATATGAACTCGCAGCCAGAATGAATTTATTCAAGAAAAGTAAATTTGCAGAAATGAGTGACCAGCGGCTAGCATGCACACAGATAGAACATGTGGCAGAGGACACACTCCTCCGTGGGCTGGGCCTTATATATCTTAGGGTGGGCTAAGTGTCTGGAGATGGGGTGGGAAGCAGTAGGAGATGAGTTTCTCCCTACAGGTTTTTCAGGTTTCATAGGCTTTCAGATCTGGAAAAGAACGCAGGGGGTGAGGTGGGGAACAATACAGGGTATGAGACTGAACTGATCTCTTGAAAGGATGGAGGAGTAAGGAGTAAATTCTGATTTGATCTACTTTCAGTCAAAGAGCTAGAATGGCTATCCTTGTTCCACCATAAACAATGGAAAATGAATATTGAAGATGTTACAAAATTTAACAATGAATAACCAAATATTAAAGAGGATTTGAATTCAATTTGTAACACAAAAATAGAGGATTTAATGGCATCTATATTTGATAGATAGTTTTGTTTTACTTTTTATCAGAAATAACTGTAAAGCAACCTGCCTAGGAAGGCAATGGAAGACAACCCAAGTATCTGGGCTCCTCCCACCCATATTGGAGCATAGGATGGACTTCCTGACTCCTGGCTGCATTCTTCCTGTCTTGCCTGGATCAGGATGCTGTGGCCATTTGAGGAGTGAACCAGCAGAGGAAAGATCTCATATTCTCTCTCCCGCCCCCTTCTAGCTCCACTTTCCAAATAAATAAAAATGCCTTAAAAAAAGAAACCAGTACAGTCACCCACATAGCATTTCATTGTCGTATTTCCTTAGTCTAATCTCTGGCAGCTCTTCAGTCTTTCTATGTATTCCACATTTAAGATGCAAATCTCAATGTTATTTTGGGTATTTAAAGAGCAAATGAAATAAGTTAATAATAATATCTTACACCCAAATTTGACAATGAAAGCTGTTTAGCATAATGATAAGCTTATTGTTTGATATATTATTTCTAATATTCCTTCTGGACTGGGAAGTATTATTACTGGAGACATGTCCCTTAAGGAGCCTGTGGGTTCTTGCCTAATACTCAGAGAACAATTCTGAATACTGGTCATCTCTGATTTCAGAACAAGGCAGCATAATAAGTTTTAAGCCTTTTATTTATTGAGAGAAATGCATAGGAGAGTGAGGGCTCTATCTAAAGGAGAGAGAAATCTGGACTCATACCGAGCGTCAGGAGCCAGCCATGTGAAAGAGTATGGAGGCTCCTGGAAGGTGCGGCGGCAGCAAGCAGGTCCAGTGCAAAAGGGAAAAAAGGGCTGGGCCCACACTGTCCCAGGCCTTTAATCTTCTTCCAAAGGGGAGTGGTTAATTAACCTGATTAGCAGATGGGCACACAGGTGTGGTCAGGTAGGGGCAGGAGATCACACAGGGGTGTGGTGAAGGTATGATCTTCCAGCTCACAAACCTTATCAATTTTGTCCTGTACACCTGCCTATAACAGTATGATGTCAGTATATGACAGATTCTGGGCTGTGAAGCCAGCTACTTCAATGTCAATTTACAAATTTGTTACTTAGGACCTTTATTACCTTGGAAATCTTTTCTGAACCATCCTTTTCTTTTATAAAAAGTTTTATATTTTTTCAATCATTCATTTGAAAGACCCAGTGAAGGAAAGAGAGGGAATATCAGAGAGAGAGAAAGAGAGAGAGAGAGAGAGAGAGAGAGAGAGAGGGATCTTTCATCTGCTGGTCCCCGCCCCCCCAAATTCCTACAATAGCCTGGACAGGGGCAGGCCAAAGCCAGGAACCTGGATCCAAGAACTATAGCACAGCAGGGATCCAAGTACTTGGGCCATCATCTGCTGCTTTCCCAGGTGCATTAGCAGGAAGCTGGATTGAAACAAATAGTGGAAACTCAAGCTGGTTCTCTGATATGAGATACCAGCATCACAAGCAGCAGCTTAACTTGCTGCGCAACAATGCCTGCCCTGTTGCTGAGTCATTCTGAGCCCCACTGGCACCATCCTGGACAAAAAGAAATAGCATCTGATAGCATTCATTGTGAGAATTGTGTGTCATTATTATTATATTTGCTAATAATGCCATCATTTTGCTTCCGTTGATGCTATTCATTTAAATATAAATATATCTCTTCTTTTAAAAAAAGATTCATTTATTTATTTGGAAGTCAGAGTTACACAGAGAGAGAAGGAGAGGCAGAGAGAGAGAGAAAGAGATCTTCCATACACTGGCTCACTCCCCAGTTGGCTGCAAGGCCAGAGCTGTGCCAATCCAAAGCCAGGAGCTTCCTTCTGGTCTCACATGTGAGTGCAGGGGCCCTTGGGCCGTCTTTCACTGCTTTCCCAGGACATAGCAGAGAGTTGGATCACAAGCTGAATGGCCAGGACTAGAACCGGCGCCCATATGGGATGCCAGTATTGCTGGCAGTGGCTTTACCTGCTATTCCACAGCACCGGCCCCTATAAATATATCTCAGCGAGAATATTCTAATGAAGAAATTATGTAGGACTTAATGGAAAATGTTATTAGCCATTATATATATTCAATTTGTTACTCATTTATTTGCATTTTTCCTATTGAATCAGTATATTTTACATAGAATTTGTAACTTTTTCAACAGTCATCATCAAAAGCTATAAGGTCATATACAAGTCAATTTTTAATTTTTTATTTATAAAGGGGGAAAATTTTCATGTATTTCATATACACAGTTTTAAGAGCAAAATTAAACTTCCCACTCTACCTCCCCTCACTCCCTCACTGCCACCTTCCCTCCTCCTTCCTTATTTTGTTTTTAATTTTTACAATGAAATATTTTCAATTTACTTTATAATCAGAAACTTAACCCTCCATTAAATAAATAATTCAATGGGAAATAGGAAAACCACTCTTTCTCAAGAATGTAGGCACAGGTTATAAACAATAATCAAATCTCAAAACATGTATTTCATTCATACATTTTTATACTCTACATATTATAATTATTAGAATGAAAGAAGTTTCTTCAAGGCTGCTTTCAAAGTAGCACATACTGAAATCTTCACAGCAATCCACATGATGAAAGCCAGCATAGGCCTTGGATGCCAGGGGGTCAAAATGTATCTGAAAGCAACTACAGAACTTTTAATGGTCCATTTCTCACCATGCTTTCCTGAATCAGTTCTTATAATTGGTGGCAATGTATCAGACTCTGCTTCTTCCAGCAGGAATTTCAATACCAAAAAAAAAAAAAAAAATAGAAGCTCAAGAGTATTACTATATTTCAAAGAAAAGAAAATTAGAATAGAAAACTAGAATAGAGGCCTATTTATTAATTGTTGAAATGATAAAACAGTTTATTTATTTATTTATAACAATTCTGAGCAGGCATTGCAGTGCAGCAGGTTAAGCTGCTGCTTACAATGTCCAAATCCCATGTTGGTGTGCCAGTTCCAGGTGTGGATCTTCTGCTTCCCAACTATCCTGCTAATGCACCCTTGGGAGGCTGCAGGTGATGACTCAAGTGCTTTGGCTTCCTGCTAGGGAGACCTGGGTGGAGTTCCAGGTTCTTGGCTTCCATCTGGCCTAGCCCTGGTTTTGTTGGATATCTCGGGAGTGCATCAGCAGATGGGAAGATTCTCTCTCTCTCTCTCTCTCTCTTTCTCTCTCTCTGCCTTTCAGGTAGCTGAAAGTAAATAAATAAAAACTGTAAATATCTGATTCTGAAACAAGAAGAATAAGTATAAAAAGCAGACAAAAAAAAGTAAGAAGTGCAGGACTGACAAGTCAAGGAAGAATTGCCGGGAAATACGTCTAGCAAGAACTTTACTTCTGTGCCTTAAGCACAATGCCCACGTTCTCTCCTGTTCCTAATTCAACATTTCGTTTCTTATTAATTTGTCCAGATCCAGGATTTGGAGACAGTCATGAAACCAGAGGGACTTTTAAGATAACATCTGGAGCTACATATAATCCTAATTTGCAAGATAAACTGTCAATGGATTTCAAAGTCCTTGCTTTTGACCTTCAGCAAATGGTAGGGGATTGTCTTTTCTTCTACTGATTTGACACAACATAGTTTTGCTGACCACTTGCCAAAAGGTATAGATCCCAATTTTTGACCATGAAGAAGTTAGTAATTAAATTTAATATGCCCATTTTTCAGAAGTATATGAACCAAACCACCACAGAGAAAATACCCTCTATCAATTTGAAGCAAAACATAAGAATTACTCTATATAACATTGTGACTACAAGTTGATATTTTAAATTTAATATACCTTTTCAACTTTTTTTATTTTTAGATAGATGAGATCTTTCAATCAAGTAACTTGAAGAATGAATATAAGAACTCAAGAGTTTTACAATTTGAGTGAGTGTATTCAAAGAATTTCTGCTGATAGAAGACAGAATCGTAAAGTAACCATTTTGTTATTAGTTGGAAAATAGTGTCATTGGGTAGGAGAAAAGGATTATTTAAAATTTTCAATATTTTAGAAGAAAAGTATCACAACACAAACTTTCTTTTTTATTTTAGTAGCAAATAATAATTCTGATATTTGAACATATGATGATGTTTGTCTCTCCTGGGTGAAATCTAGTAATACCAGGAAGGGGTTGAGGTTGAATGTACACAGATGCAGACTTATTTTCCAATGTGCAGTGAACATGTGGGATAAGCTTGCTGTTTATTAGTAAAATGATATGATGTCATCAGCTTCATTTACACAGTGAATCACGGGAGACAGGGGATTTGTTCACGGTTGTAAAGTAAGTGTTCAGTAAATGAATGAATCTTACATTAGATAATGATGATCTTCCACTTAAGACTATTTGAATCTAGAGATGGTATGTGTGTGTGTGCGTGTGTGCGTGTGTATATATATATATATATATATACTTATAAATGTTATGCTAGGAACACTTCCCATGAGATCAACCCTCTTAGCAACTAATTTTTTTTGATTCTTCATGAAGGGAATTCATCCATGTGCTGTTTTTGTATCAATGTATGTGTTGGAGAAAGTCCAGGGCTTCTTATTCTGCCACTTGCTGACATCAATCTGAATCTACAGTTTTCTAAATCTCAAACTATCAAAGGAATAGATGAAATAAATAAATAGATATAAGAATCAGCATGAAATTTAAGAAAGTTATAGGGGCCTTATAATATATAAAATTAAATTAAAAAGAGAAAAACAACAAAGAAAAGGTGTCCCGCCCGTAAAAATAGAAAGCTAACATAAGAAACTGATTGAGATCTGGTATATCTGTAAAACAGTATACAGGGGCAAAGTCTTCAAGATCACTTAGAATAAAATAACACAGATGGAAAGACACACCTTCGCAAAAAAAGAAAAAAATGTGGAAACTCACTGGTTGAACATGTATTTCAGGTCAACCATACTGTGATGTAATTTAAGTGATATTAGCTAATCTATTCTCATAAAATGACTATGAGAGAGATGTCATTATTCAGATTTATAGATATGACATTGAGGCTTGAGATATTAGCTAACTCTCTGCCAATTAAATAGTTGGAAAATTTTTAGGAATTTCAAGATCATCTCAATTTATAATTGGTCAACATGATTTTTATTTTACATTACAGAGTTGCAAAAGCTATACCCATTCATTAGACACCTTACATTAAAATGTATAAATTATGTATTAATGATGAGTAGGTATTCTATTTTCAGCTTATTATAGTGCTCAATAAGTTACATATTATAGTCAACACTTTATTATGAAATATGCCTTGTGTTAGATAATTTTATCCCCAGAAGGCTAATGTGTTTTGAACACATTTAAAATAGGCTAGAGCTAAGTAAGCTATGATTCTTGGTAGCTTAAATGTATTAAATGTGTTTTTTGATGTATTTCAACTCACAATGGGTTTATCAGTACATAACTTGTTATAAATTGAATAGCATCTATATTTGAATCCATTTTTGCTTTGTTTTTCTTTTGACTCAGTATATGTCCTCTTTTCCTATCAGTATGTTATAGTAAGAGTCCCCAAAATACACCAAATTGTTATAGGAAAGGTAGAATAGCTTTTTATCCTAAAATAGATGATACAGTGAGAAAAACAACTTTATTTCCTAAAGAAATAAAAAGGAAGACAACATCCCTGGCTTAGGAGAAAGCTCAAACATCAAAAATCAAGGTAAGTAAGGGAGAGCCTGACTCATGCCAATGGAACACCTAAGTAAGTTAGGCTGATGGCAATAGTCTTACATTACAACTATCAGTCTTCCCATTCCTTTACCAGGAAGCTAACAAAGTGTTAGTCTTTAGGCAGTTATCACAGTCCAAGGAGCATGGACAAAGGGAAAATTCCAAAGCCACATAGTCAATGAAAACACAGTGGGCAAGCTCCAGAACAAAGAGCAATTGCACCCTTTTTCGTTTTGATGAAATTACTACCTATAAAATTTGAAGATTCATTTAATTTTACTTTTATTCATGGGTCATTTACTATAGGCCAGGACTTAAAAATTATATATTTTTCTTACTCTTACCAGTTTGTATTCTAGTTGAAATTGTTACAATTTTCTTGTTTACATTGTGCATTGATATTTATATTTACTTATTCACTTAGGTGAATAATCCAATAGTTTAAGAGATTAAAAAGTTGTATATCTATTGGAGTCTATTCTCTAAAAAACATTATTTTTAAAATGTTAAACTCAGCCTTATTATGAAAAGACAATGACATGTTTATATGAGCTGATGATGCTTCTGGTGCTAATAAGTTTAGGGAACTGGGCTCAGTACAAACCGTAATATCATCACATACTTGTCAATTTGTTTATCCATGTACCTCTAGAACTACACAATTTTTTCTTTTTCTCTTTTAAGATGTATTTTTTTGAAATTCAGAGATACAGGGAGCAAAGGAGAGAAAAAGAGGGATCTTCCATCTGCTGGTTTGCTCCACAGATGACTGCAACAGCCAGGGCTTAGCCAGGCTGAAGCCAGGAGCCAGGGCTTCTTCTAGGTCTTGCACTTGAGCAGCAAGAACCCAAGAATTTGGGCCATCTTCAGCAGATTTTCCCAGGCCATTAGCAGGAAGCTGTTTCAGAAGTGGAGCATCCAGGACTCAACTGGTACCTATATGGGATGCCAACATCATATGCAGATATGCAGCAGTTTAACCTACTTCACCAAGAAGCCAGCATCAAGTACACAGTTTTGTATATCATCTAATCTATTCTTTCCTAGAGATTTTTGAGTGTTTAGATGAGCAACCCACCGTGGCTTATCAGTCTGAGGTTCCAAGAGTCTAGGTTACTTTTCAAATGTCAGGCTGCTAATACTCACATCTGACTGTCTGATATAGTCACGTTATCTTACTATGGCAAATTCTTTTTTTAAAGACTTATTGAAGAAAGGGAAAGGAGCAGTCAAATGTAAAGAGTCAGATATTCAGAAATTCCCAGATTAGTATCTGGTACATGTTTTTTCCACCGAGGGCTCTTTCCCTGTGGATGTGTTACCACATTCCGTAATTAAACCCACACAAGCCTTTTTGCATGAAAATTTTATTTTTATCTTTATTTTTCCCAGATATTCACCTTCATTTTTAACCTTTATAAAATTAAGCAATTTACAGGACAACTTGTTGGAGAATCTATACTCAAACAAGGTGAAAGATACTTTATCTTACAATCTTTTTTTTCCCTGACATTTTCTCTTTTCTAATGACTATGTGTGTTTCACTCTCTTCTGAATCACCAAAGATAGGTGATGGAGGTAAGCTGTAGAAAAATCATGAATATGAGAATCCAAGATTTTTTATTAGGGAATGACATATACTGCACTAAGCTAGGAATAAAAAGGAAAGGAAAGGAAAGGAAAGGAAAGGAAAGGAAAGGAAAGGAAAGGAAAGGAAAGGAAAGGAAAGGAAAGGAAAGGAAAGGAAAGGAAAGGAAAGGAAAGGAAAGGAAAGGAAAGGAAAGGAAAGGAAAGGAAAGGAAAGGGCCGGTGCTGTGGCTCACTAGGCTAATCCTCTGCCTGCGGCACCAGCACACTGGGTTCTAGTCCCGGTCGGGGCACCGGATTCTGTCCTGGTTGCTCCTCTTCCAGTCCAGCTCTCTGCTGTGGCCAAAGAGTGCAGTGGAGGATGGCCCAAGTCCTTGGGTCCTGCACCCCATGGGAGACCAGGATAAGTACCTGGCTCCTGGCTTTGGATCAGCGTGGTGCGCTGGTCACAGCGGCCATTGAAGGGTGAACCAACAGTAAAGGAAGACCTTTTTCCCTGTCTCTCTCACTGTCCACTCTGCCTGAAAAAAAAAAAAAAAAAAATACCACAGGTGTAGAAATTGCACTCTCAGGGGAGAACTGGACAGAAAACTGAAAACTGCACTGGAAATCCTAAAAGAGGAAGAGGAATGCTGTGGAGTGTGGAGGGTGCATATGCACAGCACCAACACAAAGGCAACAATAGCAGATGAGAGCCAGAGGGAGCGGCAGTTTGGAGACAGAGGTGAGACCAGACTGCAGCAATCCATTGTGATATAACTGAAGGGAGAGTATGGCATGAATCCAGATTGGCACCTTGGGGGCTAGCAGTTGCTAGTGGTTTCCAGTGGACCCAGTGGAAGTAGAAGGGGGCACATTTATCTCACCCCAACTTTCCCACATCAGCGCCCACACTGCCTGGTTGAGAAAGGACAGGTGCCATTTTTGGTTTGGGCAGCATCTGCGGAACCCTTTGTGCATGCACACAGCCACTGGCTGAGACAGGAAGCATTCTTGGCAGTACTGGAAGCAATGGCAGGTAGGGAGTAATATTCATCCAGTGGCTCTTGTATATGCGAGTGATCCAGATATTCTAGAAGGAACAATCTGCAGTGCCCACTGACTTTGAGCTTGACCAGGAGGTGGCTGGGCAACCACGTGGGATGGTGAGGCACCCACAACCTCCCAGGATCAAGATGCATAACATAGATGGAGCTATCTCAGGGAATAACAGCCTCTCTGTTGACAGGACAGGATCGCAGGGCAGAGAAACTTCTGGACCCAGCCACTGTGGGAGTCTTGGGTGCTGAGACCATGGGTACTTGGTGATTAAATGAGAAGGTGCAGGGTATAGCTGGGTATTGAGTTCTACCATGCCCAAATTGGGTGTCACCCTAGATAGTCTCCCCCCACCTCCCGGAGCACTGAACAGAGCTCTCTGGCCACACCCAACACACACTTCTTGGTATTTACTGACAGTGCAGACATTCCACTAAGCCACAGAGGCATAGCTCAAAGATAAAAGTCAACAGAGGAAAAAAAAATCAACTCTACAAATACCTAAAAACAATGCAGAAATACAAGAAACAAGAATAAGGATGACATCATGACTTGCCCCCCCCCAAA